ATTGTGTTTGTTAGTCGCTTTTTTTTTGGAATTTTTTTTTGGAATTTTTTTTGCGCTAACAACCTCCTGCCGTTTTGCCCGTGCATATCGGTCACGAACAAATCTGATTACTAAACACAGTAGCCTGGATTTGTTCTATCAGTAATCGACCTTATTCCTAATTAAATAGAGCAAATCCCCTTATTGGGGGTAAGACATGAAGATGCCAGAAAAACATGACCTGTTGGCCGCCATTCTCGCGGCAAAGGAACAAGGCATCGGGGCAATCCTTGCGTTTGCAATGGCGTACCTTCGCGGCAGATATAATGGCGGTGCGTTTACAAAAACAGTAATCGACGCAACGATGTGCGCCATTATCGCCTAGTTCATTCGTGACCTTCTCGACTTCGCCGGACTAAGTAGCAATCTCGCTTATATAACGAGCGTGTTTATCGGCTACATCGGTACTGACTCGATTGGTTCGCTTATCAAACGCTTCGCTGCTAAAAAAGCCGGAGTAGAAGATGGTAGAAATCAATAATCAACGTAAGGCGTTCCTCGATATGCTGGCGTGGTCGGAGGGAACTGATAACGGACGTCAGAAAACCAGAAATCATGGTTATGACGTCATTGTAGGCGGAGAGCTATTTACTGATTACTCCGATCACCCTCGCAAACTTGTCACGCTAAACCCAAAACTCAAATCAACAGGCGCCGGACGCTACCAGCTTCTTTCCCGTTGGTGGGATGCCTACCGCAAGCAGCTTGGCCTGAAAGACTTCTCTCCGAAAAGTCAGGACGCTGTGGCATTGCAGCAGATTAAGGAGCGTGGCGCTTTACCTATGATTGATCGTGGTGATATCCGTCAGGCAATCGACCGTTGCAGCAATATCTGGGCTTCACTGCCGGGCGCTGGTTATGGTCAGTTCGAGCATAAGGCTGACAGCCTGATTGCAAAATTCAAAGAAGCGGGCGGAACGGTCAGAGAGATTGATGTATGAGCAGAGTCACCGCGATTATCTCCGCTCTGGTTATCTGCATCATCGTCTGCCTGTCATGGGCTGTTAATCATTACCGTGATAACGCCATTACCTACAAAGCCCAGCGCGACAAAAATGCCAGAGAACTGAAGCTGGCGAACGCGGCAATTACTGACATGCAGATGCGTCAGCGTGATGTTGCTGCGCTCGATGCAAAATACACGAAGGAGTTAGCTGATGCTAAAGCTGAAAATGATGCTCTGCGTGATGATGTTGCCGCTGGTCGTCGTCGGTTGCACATCAAAGCAGTCTGTCAGTCAGTGCGTGAAGCCACCACCGCCTCCGGCGTGGATAATGCAGCCTCCCCCGACTGGCAGACACCGCTGAACGGGATTATTTCACCCTCAGAGAGAGGCTGATCACTATGCAAAAACAACTGGAAGGAACCCAGAAGTATATTAATGAGCAGTGCAGATAGAGTTGCCCATATCGATGGGCAACTCATGCAATTATTGTGAGCAATACACACGCGCTTCCAGCGGAGTATAAATGCCTAAAGTAATAAAACCGAGCAATCCATTTACGAATGTTTGCTGGGTTTCTGTTTTAACAACATTTTCTGCGCCGCCACAAATTTTGGCTGCATCGACAGTTTTCTTCTGCCCAATTCCAGAAACGAAGAAATGATGGGTGATGGTTTCCTTTGGTGCTACTGCTGCCGGTTTGTTTTGAACAGTAAACGTCTGTTGAGCACATCCTGTAATAAGCAGGGCCAGCGCAGTAGCGAGTAGCATTTTTTTCATGGTGTTATTCCCGATGCTTTTTGAAGTTCGCAGAATCGTATGTGTAGAAAATTAAACAAACCCTAAACAATGAGTTGAAATTTCATATTGTTAATATTTATTAATGTATGTCAGGTGCGATGAATCGTCATTGTATTCCCGGATTAACTATGTCCACAGCCCTGACGGGGAACTTCTCTGCGGGAGTGTCCGGGAATAATTAAAACGATGCACACAGGGTTTAGCGCGTACACGTATTGCATTATGCCAACGCCCCGGTGCTGACACGGAAGAAACCGGACGTTATGATTTAGCGTGGAAAGATTTGTGTAGTGTTCTGAATGCTCTCAGTAAATAGTAATGAATTATCAAAGGTATAGTAATATCTTTTATGTTCATGGATATTTGTAACCCATCGGAAAACTCCTGCTTTAGCAAGATTTTCCCTGTATTGCTGAAATGTGATTTCTCTTGATTTCAACCTATCATAGGACGTTTCTATAAGATGCGTGTTTCTTGAGAATTTAACATTTACAACCTTTTTAAGTCCTTTTATTAACACGGTGTTATCGTTTTCTAACACGATGTGAATATTATCTGTGGCTAGATAGTAAATATAATGTGAGACGTTGTGACGTTTTAGTTCAGAATAAAACAATTCACAGTCTAAATCTTTTCGCACTTGATCGAATATTTCTTTAAAAATGGCAACCTGAGCCATTGGTAAAACCTTCCATGTGATACGAGGGCGCGTAGTTTGCATTATCGTTTTTATCGTTTCAATCTGGTCTGACCTCCTTGTGTTTTGTTGATGATTTATGTCAAATATTAGGAATGTTTTCACTTAATAGTATTGGTTGCGTAACAAAGTGCGGTCCTGCTGGCATTCTGGAGGGAAATACAACCGACAGATGTATGTAAGGCCAACGTGCTCAAATCTTCATACAGAAAGATTTGAAGTAATATTTTAACCGCTAGATGAAGAGCAAGCGCATGGAGCGACAAAATGAATAAAGAACAATCTGCTGATGATCCCTCCGTGGATCTGATTCGTGTAAAAAATATGCTTAATAGCACCATTTCTATGAGTTACCCTGATGTTGTAATTGCATGTATAGAACATAAGGTGTCTCTGGAAGCATTCAGAGCAATTGAGGCAGCGTTGGTGAAGCACGATAATAATATGAAGGATTATTCCCTGGTGGTTGACTGATCACCATAACTGCTAATCATTCAAACTATTTAGTCTGTGACAGAGCCAACACGCAGTCTGTCACTGTCAGGAAAGTGGTAAAACTGCAACTCAATTACTGCAATGCCCTCGTAATTAAGTGAATTTACAATATCGTCCTGTTCGGAGGGAAGAACGCGGGATGTTCATTCTTCATCACTTTTAATTGATGTATATGCTCTCTTTTCTGACGTTAGTCTCCGACGGCAGGCTTCAATGACCCAGGCTGAGAAATTCCCGGACCCTTTTTGCTCAAGAGCGATGTTAATTTGTTCAATCATTTGGTTAGGAAAGCGGATGTTGCGGGTTGTTGTTCTGCGGGTTCTGTTCTTCGTTGACATGAGGTTGCCCCGTATTCAGTGTCGCTGATTTGTATTGTCTGAAGTTGTTTTTACGTTAAGTTGATGCAGATCAATTAATACGATACCTGCGTCATAATTGATTATTTGACGTGGTTTGATGGCCTCCACGCACGTTGTGATATGTAGATGATAATCATTATCACTTTACGGGTCCTTTCCGGTGAAAAAAGGTACCAAAAAAACATCGTCGTGAGTAGTGAACCGTAAGCAGTAATAACTTTATAAAGTAATTGACCCAAAAAAATTGGATGTATCGGAAAAGGAGATTGTTGTTATTATATGCCAGCTTGAGATATTGTTTTCTTCTATCCTTTTTTGATATGATGATGCATTTTCTTGTACATTCAAGGTAAAGAAATAAGATTGTGTGGTCTAGTTTATCTAAGATGGATGTATCCAATTGAGCATTATATGAAGATTCTCAAAGGGTATGTTAAAAATTATTATTGTCCGTAAGCCTTTATGATCGAGAGATACATTGCAGAAGAAGCCATTGAATTTGGTCGAAAGTATATGTCAAAGGAAAATCCTATAAGACTTCCATCAAACTCTTGGCATAATAGATGATCAACTAGTAAATGTTTACAAGGCATTCATATAGTAACTAAATCATGTGACGAAGTTCTTCAGTGCACATTTGTATATATTGAACAATATGGATGTGGTAATTCCTCACTTATCTACTAATAAGCCATTGTCAAAGAGAATAACCCAAGACAACTAGAGAAGTGGGTGTTAAGGCAACATAACAAGACATTCATGACATGGTTTAAAGAGGAAATCATGAAAAATCTAACAACATCTGAAACATTAATATGACTAGCAAATGAACTTGAATTTGATGTCTTATGTTGTACCAAATATGACATTAATAATTGTTCTTTCTTTACAAAGTCTCTGGATGATAAAAGTATTGTTCAAAATAATGGTGTGACTCTTGAAGTAAAGTGCATGCAATTCTCTACTTCTAAGGAATAAAAGCCTGCAATTGGATCAATGCCATATTATGGTATAATTGGGGAGATTTGGGAGGTTAGTTATACTATGGTTTTAGTGTCGTTTTCAAGTGTATGTGGGTTGACAATAAAAATAGTGTGAAGATTGATGAATCAGGATTGACGTTGGTTGATTTCCGAAAGATAGGTTATCAAGATGAACAATTTATCATGACACATCAAGTTTCACAAGTGTTTTATGTCAAAGATCCTACTTCTGAACATTGGTTAGTTGTTCTTCATGGAAAAGAATAAGATTTTTTCATGAGAATGAACAATTTAATCTTGACATTTGTCACATCATAGCAATTACTTGTCATATCTATTATTGACAACACTATTATATGATTTTGTTCATTACACAAAAGTCACTATTATACCTTAAACAAATAGCAGTATTGGTAACAAAATTTGATTTGTTTTATAGAAGTTATATTACAATTATATTTTTATATATGTTTTAACTAAGTGTATATGTTATTAGTACTTATTCTAGATATAACATAATGAGCAGTGAGGTCAAGTGGAAGACCACAAAAGCTCACATGGTCGCATCTAAATGTATAATGTATGGTTTTATTATTGTTACTAACAAACTAATTTAATTTCTATATTTTGAGAAATAGTGTTGTAGACCCCAAATCTTGTCCCGCCTCAAAATAAAGAGCGAAGACTTCCATTCGAAGATGGGCAAGGCCTAAAAGGTCCATAGGATTGATCAATAGGCCCCATATTAGAATAGGAAGGACTTTTGTATAAGAAAAATAGGAAATTTCACTCTAAAGGGTCGAGACACCCGTCTCGATTTGAGCAGAGACCGCCGTCTCATTTAGCGAGACCGTCGTCTTCATTTAGTGAGACCGCCGTCTCGCCATTGGCGTAAGGGCAAGATCGCCATCCTGCTTGGCGAGATCGCCGCCTTGCCACTTACAATGGCGAGACAGCCGCCTCACCACTTGCCGAAGGCGAGACCGCCGATCCCGTTGGCCAGGATGGCTGTCTGACCTCGTCAGGTAGACTGCGCGACTGATAGTGCGCATCCTATATAAGTGGAGGGACTTCTCACTCTTTTCACATGATTCTACCACTTTCCCTTCTGTAAAATCTTCAAATTACTCTCCTAGGACCCCTATGAAGCATTTTCAGAGTTTCTTAGAGTTCTTAGAAAGCGTTCTATAGGATTGCGAGGAAGAGCGATCATCATTGTAGCGTGGGGATTGCCAAAAAACACCCTCTTTCAAAGAACTTACTATAAAAGCTTGCTTCGAAGGTTCCTATATATTCCCTTCTCTACTTTACTACTTTTTAGATAGTATTGTTGTGCATTAATCATTTAGGGCCATGTAGTCAATATTTTAATTTTTTTAATCGAATAAATAAGGGTAAAAGTGCAATTTAGAGTTATTATTTCTTTATAAAAATGGTCCATCATAGGGAATGTTGAATTATTGAGCAAGCGCATCAAAATTATCAATCGTAGTATAGTATTTCAATTAAATAAAATTCGATCCCACGAGGAATGGTTTCAATGGAAATTCTCAATTATATGCTTACTAAGTAGATTAAAACAAAATGAGTTTTGCATAAAGAGTTGAATTAAAATTAAATGACAAATTACTGTAAATTGTTGAGTAAATATCAATTAAAGGCACTTAGGATTTGTTTCCTTCCTTATCCCTCTTTTGTAATGGCTATGTCAATTAAGAACGCCAATTAACCTAACAATGTTGATGCCACCTACTCAAATTATCCATGTTGATTCCTCACACATGAAATTCATAAGAAAACCTAATAAATTTTGATTCCTCACACAATTAAGAGATTTTCCAGCATTAGGTTTAGGGTGTTAAGCAATTGATACATTCATTTCATTCCTAACAATTAACGTAACAAATATTCTTATCGTGATCTAAGGTTCAAGATATATTTTCCAATCATATCCCAAACATCAAGAATAAATCATTCCAAATCACAAAGGATAAGAATAACAAAATCAAAACATAAATTATTACCTCAAAATATCACCATGATACAAAAGAGTTCAAAGGAAATGCACCAAATCCTAAGAGAATGAAGTTATCCACTCATGTTGGCCATTACAATGCTCCAAATGTGGAAGAAGTGAAGAATTGATGAAGATTGGACGAAACCCTAGCAGTACTCGTGCCTCTTCTTCTCAAAACTCGCTTTCCTTTCTCAAAACACATCTTCTCTTTTTGTAGGAAAATTTTGGGCCTTTGGGCTTCGCGTCTTTCGGCTGAGCGAGAACTTTCGCTGCAAAGTTCTCGCCAAGTGAAAGTTACTCGTTTTCGCTCAAGCGACAAAACGCTCGCTTGAGCGAGTGAACTCCGTGAGAAGAATAAATAACATTCGCTCAAGCGAATCTTCTGCGCTTGAGTGACTCGACTTCCAGAGAAGAATAATTGATATTCGCTCAAGCAAATCTTGTGGTCACTTGAGCGATCGACTTCCTAGAGAAGAATATCGATATTCGCTCAAGCGAGAATCCATCCCACTCGAGCGACTTCCATGCTCGAAAATATTCTTCCTTCTTCCAGCTTTACTCCAATCTATGCTGACAATTATGCTCCTTACTCTTGTATCAAGGTATTCTCGAATTCATCCTATATTGGGAGAAAAATATATTAGAATTAACATAAGTTAAGTGGTTTCATAATAATTCAATGCATAATTATATCAACTTTTTACCACTTAACAACTCCCTCCAACCTAGAATCTTGCTTGTCCCAAGTAAAGTAAATTTTCAAAAACAAGACCATCACCTATTATCTCTTTCTCTTCCAAAACCACAACATAAAAATTTTTAGAGGTGATGCTCACAACTCCAAATGAAAATAGAACACATAAGCATTCAAGTTACAGAAACCAACAAAGAATAATTAGTCCTCAACTATCCTCAGAGAAGCATGATCTCTCAAATAGAGTTATATATAATCATCTCTAATTCTCACAGGTAAGTGATTATCTCATTCAATCACTTATTGATAATCATCTTCAAGCAATCAAAATTTGTTAAGCAAGACTTAAATCAAAAGGTCTTTTAAGGCTTGTAATGGGGCTGGGCTAAGAAAGAATCATTGGTTTTTCTGGGATATACAAAAGTATTTGAGAAATTCAACTCATATGAATGATTCTTGATTAACATTTCCTCAAGTCAGGTTCCAAACTTCATGGTTTTGTCCCTAACACAATGATAGTGAGTTAATAATCTCACAAGTTATTATTCCCCCCTTGAACTACTTTTATATTTTTTTCTTTTCTCATGCTTTTGCATGTATTCTTTTTGGCTTTGCCATAATTTTTAAGCTTTGCTTTTCCTTTTCCTTTACACCTTTTTTTTTTTAGAATAACACCCCAATAATACCCGTAGGACAACAATAGCGATACCCAACAATAGGAAAAATAATAACATTTATACTCATTTCCTTTCTCAAATATAGAAGTAGATAAATAGTGTTTAGGCTTAGGGGTTCTGTTTAAGAAACAATATTATTTTTGGCTCTAGAAGGGGTTCAAATGGATGTCCTATAATTAATGCAAGGTTGGCTATTTGGCTTTGGGTTATATCTACTACAAAGAAAAAAATGCCTTTATCATTTTCAAGTCTCGCTAACATGTAATCACATCAAAGAATCAACCAATACCAGTTATCATCATAAAGTGTTTACACTCAATTTGAACTGTTTGTGGTACTCTACTTACCTGGGTTTTGGCTAGCTTCTCCAATTCAGTTAATTCCTAATTCTCCTCATCAATTCCTTTTCACTATCATACTCAACATCCCAAATCACTTGTTATTGGAAACAATCAAAATGGTTTTCTTCAGTTCCAGATTTGAATTGGACAATAAACAATAATCTCATATATGGCTTTAAAACAAATTGTATGGGACAACAATCTAATCACAAAAATTTATCATTCATCATCATTAATTATCAATTCAAAATATTCAAACAAAACAACTTCAAATCAATTCAAATACAAATTTAAA